GTAGCAAACGCTGTTTGACAGTGTGGTTTGGATGCATTTCAGGTGAAAACACACAAAAAAAACCCCTGAGAGTGTTTGATCCCGGCTGTACCTGCCTTCCATATTCATGTTCCTGCGCCTCCATGTCATTATGGGATTAAAGCATCATTAGCACACAATGAAAGCCTTTGATAACACTCTGCCCCTGCTCCCCCTCGCCTTTCCTTTTTGCATTTCTCCTGCCCCATCCTCTTTCTCTTTTTTCCTCTTTTTTTCCACCTTCCTTCCTTTTTCTCCCCAGTCATTTCAGGGGTGCTCTGGAGTGACACCTCCCCGAGATGCAGTGCAGTGGAAGGGACTGATTCTGACCGTGTGTGTATCAGTTTTAGTGGGGCAAACTGGAGGCAGCATCACCCCAGTGCAAGTCTATCCATCTACATCCAGGTCCACAGCAGCTCTGCTGGTCTAGGACAGCAGAGGACGTTGATGAGCAGGAGCAGAGAGGGTGGGGAACACAAGCAGGGTTCTGGTGTAAATCCAGGTGTTATTCCACTGGTGTTGGGAAAGCTGCTTTCAGATCTACCCCAGGAAAGCAGTGAGCAGAACGTGGTGTCCAACACCCACTTTGCAGCCTCGTTACCGAGAGCTGCAGCGTTTGGAGCAGCTGCTGGAGAATGCCAGTAGTATTTTTAATAAGGGTGTTGAGACCAATCTACTCCTGTATGGCAAACGTGACAGCAATTTAGATTGAAAGCCCCTGTTTTCCAGCCAGACACTCAGCCAGTTAGTGCAAACAAAAAGGCACTTGTAACTCCAGTCCTTTAATCTTCCTCTTTGCTTCGTGATAGATAAGGCGTCTTGACATCAAATTGCACTAATATGGTGCTCTGAAGATTAGCACTGTGGACAATGCTGTTCATCTGGCTTTCCCTGATATGGTTTCTGAGTGTAGCAAGGTCTAGTGGTCAAAGCAGGGATGCTGGTAAGGAAAATGGGCTGTTCTCACACTCCTCCTGCCTCTGACTTCCACTCTGCCAGTGGCTGACCTTGCCTCTTGGTTTCTGCCAGTTGTAAAATGGGCATAAAAGATGTTAATTGCTGGGGTGGGGAGCTCGTTGGGGGATGGCTAATGATTATTGGCTTGAAAATTACAGAGGAGAGGGGGAGAAGAAACAGAAGGAAGGTTTTTGCAACGAGTGTGGGATGCAGGAGCTGCTCCTCTGGAGATCTCAGAGCCGTTTCCTACATATGTTCTCATTGCCCTCATCTCAACAAAGGGGCAAAAAATATAAGGTCAAGTGATTTTGCCCAAGGTCATATGAGAAGTTCTGGAATGAACCCAAGTGTTGCAGGTGCTGCAGGCCTGCTGTAACCAGTGGATTGTGCTGCCTGTTCACAGGCAGGCTGTGCAGGCTGTCAGTGCACACAAACGCCCCACCAGGAGCTTCACTTCTCCCTTGGGCAGAGCTGGGGGTGCCTTCAGCACACCCAGAGCAGCACTGGAGGGGCAGCAAGGGCTGCACATCCAGTATAAGGCCAAAGAATGTAGAGCCTGGGCTAAATTCTGCTCCCAGTTTCCTAGGAGGGCAGGGGAGGCACAAACACCTCTCTGACACCACCCTTCGATCGTCAGGGACTCCACAGGCACTGGAGGAGATGGGAGGTGTGGGAGCAATGCCAGCCCAGCAGGGAGCTCACAGCAGCCTCTCAGAGATCAAACTGCAGCAGCCTGGGTAAAAATGGACAGGGGAGATGAAACAAGGATGCCTCAAGTCAATCACACCGAGAAAAACTCGACATGAGGTGAGGGAGCTTCACATGGAGCTGAGGAAAAACAAGCAGCTGAAGTGGAGACGATGATGAGCAGCACAAAGGGATGGACCCAGCCATGGAGGGGTGAGGAGGTGCTGGTTGGTGGCAAGTTGAATATGAGTGACCAGAGAGTCCTGGCAGCCCAAAGGGCCACCCTGTCCTGGGGGGCATCAGGCCCAGCATCGCCCAGGGAGGGGATTGTCCTGCCCTGCCCTGACCTGAGGCGGCCTCACCTCGAGTCCTGGGGGCTGTTTGGGGGCCACGGTGTCAGAGGGATCTAAAGCTGTTGGAGAGTGTCCAAAGGAGGGACACAGAGATGGGGAAGGGTGTGAGGAGCAGCTGAGGGCACTTGGCTGGCTCAGCTGGAGCAGAGGAGACTGAGGGGAGACTCCTCGGGGGCTGCAGCTCCTCCCGAGGGCAGGCGGAGGGGCAGGCGCTGAGCTCTGCTCTGGGACCAGGGACAGGAGCCAGGGAAGGGCTGGAGCTGTGCCAGGGGGTTGGGATGGATCTCAGGGAAAGGTTCTTCCCCCAGAGGGTGGTGGGCACTGCCCAGGCTCCCCAGGGCAGTGGGCACGGCCCCAAGGCTGCCAGAGCTCCAGGAGCGTTTGGACAACGCTCTGAGGGACAGGGGGGGGATTGTTGGGGTGTCCTGGGCAGGGCCAGGGGTTGGACTTTCATGATCCTTGTTCCAACTCAGAATATTCCAGGACTCTATGGTTCCATGACTTAGGAGCCTTCCCTTTCAAATATTTTCATGCAAATACAAACACAGCTCTCCAGCTCCTGCTGCTGGGCAGGTCCCCCATGTCAGGCTGCAGAGCACGACAGGCCAGTAACATCAACCTGTCCCTGAGAAACCCGGGCTTGCAGCACCTTCCCCTTGGCTGTGACAGAGCTCTGTCCCACTCTGGGAAGTGGCCACACCTGGCAGAGCCATCCTGAGGATCCTGGGGCAGGGAAAGGTGGGAGACAAGGAGGATCTGCGAGGTGAGGGACCGACAGAGAGACTCAACATGTGCGACCTGACAGCTCTGTGTCGAGCTCTGGCCACGGCACGGGGCACGGAAGGGAACGAGCCTCGTCAAATTGAGCCTGGGAAGCCTTCCAAAACCTCGCCTTCACGAGGCAACAGCGTGCAGGTTTGCATAAATATCTCTGAAATTCATCAAACGGCTCAAACGAAATCCACCGGAGAAGGAACCGCTGCTGCATTTCAATCCACGCACAGTTGCTCCCCTGCCTTTGAAATCCAGCAACGCCCGCCCCTCCATCAGCCCGGGAGCAAGGTACATTCCAGATGGTTCCCCCATCCTAAAAAACTGCACTGCACAGCCGATTAAATTCTGCTTGTTGTAATTAAGCCCGACACAATTAGCTGTCAAGCAGGGCACTCATCTGTTTTATGTTGCAATCTCTTCAACAGGCGAGGCTGCTAGACAAGATTGTCACTTTTCGAAAAGATTTTCATTAGTTACCCTGGGCTCTGTGTCAGACTCGGAGATATAAAAATGTGCTCTGTAGCCAAGTCAGGGAAATTCTCATTTAATGTTCCACACAGTATTATGAAAGTAATGTACTCTGAAAATGAATGCATTTTGGAACATTTTGGAAGAAATGCAATTTGTCTGCTAAGTAATAACTGCATGTTCATGAATTTACTGATTTTTTTTTTTTCAGTATGCCTTTCGTAAAGTTGGGAAGACTTTTTCTGACCCAAAATGAGAGGAACAAAAACTGTTGGTTTTAATGTTACTCCTCCCTCCCTCTTCCTTTCATTCCTTCTTTCTTTCCCATCACTTTTGTGCACCCTCAGTACGAAGGACCAGGCACTGTCTGATGGATGTGGGAGCTTGGCAGGGAAGAAAAATGCAGCTCAAAAATAGAAATGACACGAAATAATTGTGGTTGGCGAGGAACAAGGGAGCTCCATCTTTCCATGACTTTAAGAACAGAGAGCAAGGAATCCTCTGTTGCTCCTCACAGATCCCACAACCAGCATCTGCCAGGGGAGATGCAATTATAGTTTTCACTCTTTTGGTGGGACAGTGAATTTTCTGTGTTGGTAATGGCAGAAGGGAAGTGGGGGGTCAAACACACTGAGTTACAGGTGCTTCTCACCACCAAAAATTCAGATTTGCAATCAGAGAAAATGAGGAAGTATTCCAGGCTTGTGGAGCCTTCTCCTTTCCTTATAAATAGATGCTGGATGCCAGGACAAACTCTTTAGCTCTCTCCAGCCAGTTCTCTGTTCCAGTTTGGGTAGAGTTGCACCTTCAGCTCCAGTGCTCTGGGTTCAGATCCAGAGGCCTAAATTGGGGGTCTTGGACAGCCAGGATGATCGGAAACAGAGCTGAATGGCCACTGAAGGGCTGGCTGAGCTTCCATCAGAAGAGAAACATCTGACTCAGAGTTATGGGTTCAGCTGGGCAGGAATTCGGTAGAGGGGAATATGAAAAACCAGATTAATGGCCACAAGCTGGAAAATAAGAGGAAAATGGGGGGCAATTACAGTGATAATTGGGACAGGAGTCACAACTGGCATGAGTGAGCTCAGCAATCTTCTGCATTTACTCAAGATGTGATTTTGATAGTTGCAGGATGACGTGGCACAGAGCTGGGTGAGCAGCAGGGCTGAGGTGGTGGTGGTGTCACTGCCTCACTCCAAGCTGTGGTGGAAATGACTCCCCTCTGCTCTGTGATTGCCCCCACACTCAGGTGCCCACAGGGCCCTCTGTGCCCTTGAACAGGAAGGAGCAGAGTGGCACATTTTACATTTTACTGTCTTGCTACGTCTGTACAAATTGGGGTTGTCAGTTTATATGTTGAGATGAAATACAGTTCTCAGCTCATAAGAAGTTATGTGCTGGAGTTTGAACCCTGCTGTGACAAGCATTACCCAGCTTTGTTTGCTGCCTGTTACTGGCCATTAACTCCCCAGGCAGAGCCTCTGATTCAGAATTCAAGTGGCTTTAATCTGGCAGCGTTTACCCTCCTCGGGAAGGAATAAAGTTCATGAAAATTAACACCACTTTGTCTCCAAATAGGAGCACCCCCACACGAGGTTCTGTGTGTGTTTTAAAAACTTGTCTTTCATGGTATCCGTTTTCCACACTCAGATTTCCTTTGCAGCGAGGCCTTTCCTTGGAAAAAAAAAGAAAAAAAAGCTCCCATTTTCCCAGGAGCAGTTTTGGAAGTTGTCTGGGTGTCAACCCATTCCTGCCCTGGGTGCCTGCACAGGGCTGGGAGCTCAGGGCTGGAGTGCAGCCCAGTCCATCAAGGATTCAGCCACAGAAGGAAAAGGCAGGAAAAACTCCACAGGAGCAAAAACCAGCGGAGGAGTGAGCAGGAAAACAGAGTCCCTTAATTGAGCTGGGGGAGAAGAGGGAGGAGAGACGATTACAAGGCTTGTGGATCTTTGTCTACGAGAGAGCTGCCTTCCTGAGACCCGGCTCGGTGGCACAGAAGCATCCAAGGTACCCTTGGGAGAGGGTTGTGCGGGGAGGAGCTGGAGCAGAGCTCTTTTTTGAGGAGCACGTGGGGTGCAAGGCTGAGAACGTGCTTGGTCAGAGCTGCTCCCAAATGCTCCGACACTTCTGCTCCAAAGAGCAGAGCACGGGGGGCTTTTCCTCTCGGGCAGGTTCCCTTTCTCCAGCCGGGGGTGGAGGGGACACAAAGCAGGGCTTGCACTCGTGTCCCAAGCGCCGGTCAGAAAGATGGTTGCTATAAAGCTGTGGTGTGCAGGGATGGGGCAGAGCGATGCCGGGTCACACAGTTCGTTTGCCACAGTGACAACCTGCGTAAATTGAGTGTGACTGAGACGGGAGGGGTGTCGGTGCTGGACGAGCTCCGCTGCACCTGCACGGGGGCTGTTTGACCGGGGCTCTGGGCATCTGCTCCCCACCCTGAGCCACTGCTCCAGCCCAGCTGCCGAGGCTTTGACGTGGCGGGGAAATGGCTCGTGGCTCGTTTTGACGCTGGGATGAAACGCCCGGGCAGGAGGAGAGGATCCGTGAGGAGCCGCAGATGCGCGGCAGCTCCGCCCCGGCTCCCCCGACCGCGTCCTGCTCGAGGGGGGGACGAGTCTGGCACATCCTGCCCCCGACACCCGGCTTATCCCACAAAATAATCGCTCCAAGTGGGACTGGGACCCGCATGGGCCACCCGGGGTGACAGTGGCACCCGTGGGGATGCTGGCCTGGCTGCTGTAGGTGGCCAGCTCGACGGGGATGTGCTGGGGGGGAAGTCTTGGCTCCCTGCGAGTGCTGATTTATTGCAAATAGCTTTGGCCAGAGCTGCTGTGATAAACAGTAAAAACCAAACCCCCAAAAATGCCTTCCTGCTCCAGCCTTTAGCTGGATCTGCTGCTGGCAGGGGCTTTGTCAGCACCAGGTGCAAGGGGTTGCTCAGGGGGGGGAGCAGTGAAACCCAGCTCTGATTTTTTTTTGTGTCTGTTTAACCCTTTCCTCCCTTGATTAATATTTGTCTGCAGAACTCCCCTAAAAAATGGGGATGCTTTTTTCATTTTGTGTTTTAGTGATGGGAGAGGAGTCAAGAGGAGATTACTGAAAGAAAAAGGCCTCCAGGTGCTGCAGTAAAGCTCCAGGTGCCTCTCTTCTCCCCACACCGATGCTGTTTCAGGTGAGCAAATTTAAATGTGTAACTCTGCCTGACAGTTTCAATTATTATTTATTTTTAACCACGCTACAAGAGAGAGGAAAGAAAAAAAAAAAAGATTTATCACAAAAGGTTGTTTTGGGGAAGGGAGGGGGAAGGACGGGGGAACTCTAGAATGTTTTATTTATGGGAAAACTGCAAATTACCTTAATAAATTCCTTTACTAAGCTGTGTCAGCTACTAAAACATTGTTCTTTGTGGGTGAATAACTTTTAATTTGAGTGTTCTAGTATTCAGCAGAGTGAGGTAATGGATTAGCAATTGCCTGTATTGTAAATGTCATCTTGGCATAATTAGGGTGATTATTGTTAACCAGTGGAGTTTAGTATTTATCTGTCACTGGGTGAGGGAATATAACAAAGCCCCAATTAGTTATAAATGGAGGTGGGTGGTGGGGATGGAGCAGCCTCGAAAACACTATTTTTGTTTTAACTTCATTTCAGTGTTTATTTGATTTTCACATCAGCATTAATGTGATCTCCCCCGACAGGAGGGACGAGGAATCACGTGCACATGGAGATGCCATGTGTGCCAGGGCAAGATTTACAGAGAAGAAGGTGGCACAAGTGGGATCAGCACTTCAGTTTACTGCACAAACCAGGAAGCTGTCCTTCACTGTGCCCAGCTGGGAACACACAGGCTCCCTGAATCCATCCAGTGTTGCAGGCTCAAGAAAGCATAAAAAGGCATAAGAAAAGCTCTTTTAACTGACTCCATCCTGATGTCTCCTTTCCTGACCCACTCATCTTTGTTGCTTTGTCCTAATGGCTTTAAACTGGCAGACAGAGGGCAGGATTTGATGGGATATTGGGAAGAAATTTTTGGCTGTGAGGGTGGGGAGGCCCTGGCACAGGTTTGCCCAGAGAAGCTGTGGCTGCCCCATCCCTGGAAGTGTCCAAGGCCTTGGAGAAACCCAGGATAGTGAAAGGTGTCCCTGCCCATGGCAGGGGCTGGAACTGGACGGGCTTTAAGTTCCCTCCCAGCCCAAACCATTCTGGGATTCTTTGCCCTCCAAGTCAGATTTGCTCTTCAAATGGGCCAAGTCTGACCTGTTTAACAGTCACTCCCTGTAAAACGTGGGCAGAGACAGCAGAAGTTCCCACCAGTAGAAGGGGGTGTTAAGCTGATGGAAGGTAACAACCATTACCCCAGTTTGGAGCTGTCTGTGACTGTGGTGCCTGTGCTCCCTCCACTTCCCAAACACCTGCACCCACAGGTTGCAGTGCAGCTCAGGTGGCCTTTCCAAACCTTCCTGACAGGGCTGCACCGCTGTGTCACCATCTCTGATGGCCACCAGCCCACCCAGGCTCGGTGCCAACACCACCTTTGAAGTCTCAATCCCCACTTAGGCTCCTCCCTGCCCGTTCGCTCCTCCCAGCGCCGGTATCTGATGGTCAAAGGGATCCTCCAAGGGGAAGTGATCCGAGCACAATTCCGGGAGGGAAGGGATGCAAAACCTTATTACAGCAGCTGTGGAGTGGTGTCTCCCTTGGAAACCTCATCTCCTTTCCCCCCAGGGCTTCAGCAGCTGGCTCGAGGCTCCAGGGTTAATGTCCTTTGCGAACACTGATCCGGCCCTAATAGAAGTGGGGATATTGCTATCACCCACAGATATTTCAAATCCTTCCTCTTAATCCTGACAAGCTCTTGCCCTTAATAACTTCAGTGGGACTTTTGCCAGAGCAAAGACTGTCAAGTCAGATTCTCAAATTAAATGAAAAGAAAAGCAGGAAGGGAAGTTCAAGGTGAGGGTTGTGGTGGTTTTTTTGTTTTTTTTTTTTTTTCCTTGGTGCTTTTTATGGATGTTCATAGCTGGAAACTGGGTTTGTTTTTTTTTTTCCTTGTGATTATCTAAATGATGGATGAGTCAAACATCCTGAGAAATGTTGCCAGATCCAGACACAAATGACAGAGGATGAACTGAGCAAAGCCATCAGGGGCTGAGAAAAGACAGAAGAAGAAGACTTAGAGGGCTGATAGGAAAATGAAAGACTCAGTGGGAAGAAAGAGGTTTCAGAGGAAAGCAGGGATCATGTACTTCATGAAGCTTAGACACAGAAAGACTTTATACATTTTTAATTAATGGTTATTGAAGTACATTGTAATAATCAGTTGGTTTGGGCTATCTCAGCCAACAGGTTGCTTGTGACCACAGTGTATTTAAAATTCCTTGGGAACCTTTTGCAGTGTTCACTCTCCTGTGACACAGATTATCTCTGTTTTCTCTAAGAATGAGAGGAACCTTTCTGTACTCTCTCCATGGCACAAAACCTAGAAAACATGAAGCTGAGAACCACAAAGCAAATAAAGACCCAGCTCTCGTTTTAAGACGTTCTCTGATTGCTGGAGATGCTCCTGCTCCAGGCAGGGAAGAGCTTTGATCGATGGTCACAGCGTTCAGGGTGCTGATAAGTGATGAGCTCCTGTCAGGGTATGAGCCACAGGAGGGGCAAGAGCAGCAAGAACAAGGTTTGAGCTGCTCTTAGGAAGAATTATCATTTTCCTGCACCTTTTATAAGTACAGGAGGCCATGGGATCCCTCTGGACACCAGGAACAGGACAGATCTTTCTCTGCCCAGCTCAGCCTTGTCCAGCCCAGCACCAGGTGAAGTTTGGCAAGTGAATGTTCCCCTGGGATTTCATATCCCTGCACACCAAACCTAACCCTGAACCATTTGTTTCCTCCCAGTGTGCACAGACTCCCCTTTTCACCCAGGGGAGGAACTGATGTCACCACATGAAAATCTGTGACGTCTCTGGGTGGATCCATGAGCCTGTGGCCACAGCAGGGCACAAGAGCAGCAACAAACTGCCAGTAAAAACAAGGTTTGGGCTGGTTTTGGAGTGGGTGTGACCTGGATTTACTCCCCAAAAGACTGCACGGGTACTGCTTCCATTGGAAACGATATAAAACCTGTAAATACTCAGTAAGCCTGACTTAGATCCCAATTATACCTGAAACAAGCCCATAAATCCAATGTATCCTTTTTTTTGCAAATGCAGCCAAAGTTCTGCTATTATTTATTTAGATGCATCTGGGAACTTACCAATTTGCAGCAATTTGCCAGCACAAATATTTTTCAAAGAGAAAGGTTTCCCCCCTTTCTCTGTAAATATTCTGCCTCTGGCCTTTGTGGGATAAAAAAAAAAAAAAAGACATTTCAGCCAAAGTAGGAAAAAATAAAAATCTATAAACACTTTATAGAGCTCGTCAAATACAATTTTAGTTTAGTTTTACAGAGAAAACTATTTTATTCTCTTCAGTGTCTGTGGGAAGGTCAATATTACTTCCATGAAACCTTCAGCAGCAGGTTTTTTTCCTTGGGTATGTCCACTTTCCATGGAAAGTCAATAGATCCACTCGGAGAAGTTCCTGAACAGAACAGGAGAGATCAAAAGGGAATTTTTTTTTGAGGGGTTGAACTGAAGCAGAATCTAATTCCTTAAAGGCTTGATCCAGCCCCTACTGAGAGATAGGAAATCACTTCAATGGAAGCAGGAGTTGAGAGACGAGCCAGGATGTGGAGGAGCCCCAGACACGCAGCTGCTCCTCACCCTGATCCCTTGGGATCACATCAGTCCCCCTGAGAGAACAGAAATTCATCCCAATGCACGGAGCAGGAGGTTTGGCTCAGCAGCACCATTTAATGCCTGATAATCCCTCATCTCAATTTACCCCAGTTTAGCAGACATCCCTGGAAGCAGGAGAGATGGCAGTGCCATGGAAACGTGTCAGCGAGTCGAGCTGTCAGCTCAGGGCCCTCTCCATCCACGGGCTCTCCCAGGGGAGCAGAGCTGGCACCACATGGGCACCTCCCTCTCCTCTTCCTGGCTCCGTGTCAGGATTGTGAAGACATCCCCACGCTGCAGCCAAGAGGGACATTTCCCTCAGGTCCGGAGGGAAAATCACGCCCACAACCGTCAGTGCCAACGACGGCAAAAATCCAGCCTGGGCAGAAAGGGGCGGATGGAAGTGGCTGAACGGAGCTGCTCGGATGTGGAGGCACCCGAGGGAAGTGTGACTTCCCTCCCCCCAGCCCTTCCATTTCAGCGTTGCCCCTCGGCTCGGATAATTCACTTTTAATAGTCTGGTTACAAAGGAGACGGCGAGGGAAGCACGTGAGCGAGAGCGGGGATTTCTGAGTCACATTCTCATTTCCCCCTCGTGCCTCCTGGGCCTCCAATAAACTACAAAGAGACATTAAGAAAACACTAAGAACTCTTTATCTGCTGAGGTTTGGGGACTGGTAGAGGGAGCAGGGAATAATGGATTCCGTGTATTTGCAACACATCCCCGAGGCAGCGACCGAACAAGGGAGATGGGAAGTTCGAGCACTCAGGACAGAGAGTGCCCGGAGCAGGAGGTTGGAGGAGGATGGAAAGCTGGTGAACAGCGCCTGAGGTTGGGGGAACGCAGTTTCCCAGTCTCTCAGGAGGATTTCAGTCCTGCCCATGCCTTGGGAAACCCAAGGGGAATGAAGTAGCTGTCATGTGTGTTTTGGGACATCATCCCTCACCGTGGACCTGTGTCAACTGGAGCCTGGATAAATCAGAGCATGCAAATGGGAAGAGAAAAGGGGTCACATCCTACCTGTGCCTGTAACACCAGTTCAGCAGGTAGTGGAAAAATCAGATGTAGGGAATCAACGGGCAAATGTTCCCCCAGGGCAAGGAAATCAATGCGAAAATCAAGTAGAGGTTAAAAACACATCCATAGAACTAATTACAGAAAGAGAGCTGAGCCTGGAGTGGATGAAAGCCCTTGCTGAAGGAAATGGCTCCACCAAGTAAATGGAGCAGTTGGCCTCAATGGCTTGGGTTATTTATTTTATTTTTTCTCTGTCTTCATGTAGGTCAGATGTCTTCCCAAGGGGGTTTCTCTTAACCTCCCTCTTAGGATCTCAATTACACACTCAACACAGATTAACAACAACAACAGATAATAGAACAGTTAGAGCAAAAGAAACCTCAGAGGAAAACATAGTGCACTTAGACCAGAACAAATAGGAAAGGGTTCAGGGGAAGGAAAATCAATGTGGCTGATATTTATTACATGCTTTATGGAGGGAGATGGGACTCAACCAGAGCCCATTTAGAGTTCTGTTCCACTTGGATTTTGCCATAAACAAAAGTAATGAGTCCAGCCCTTCATTACAGTTTTGTGCCCAGCACATTTTAATTAGGGTTAGGAAAAGAGGCAGGGAGGAGAAAAAAAAGTGAGAAAAAGTAAAGAAAAAAGAAAAGAGGTGAGAAAAATCTCCAGCTAATTCATAATTTACTATCAGTTCTGCTCAGGCTTCAGCTGGATCTTCCAAAAGCAACATCCCCTTCATTCAGATTGGATAGTTTCCCTTCAAACAGCCTTTTGATGCCACACATGAAGAGAAAACAAACAGCCACGAGCAGGGAGGGGAAAGGGAAATGAAGAAGGCAAACAATGCAATATGTATGGAATCTAACACAACACAGCCTCCCACATGGGGAGGCAAGGACTGCAATTCAGCACGAGTGGGAAAGGCAGAGAAAAAGAAAAGGCAGGGGAAAGCACGCTGTGAGCAACCAAACCCTCCTTGTTTCACCCACCTGCCCCCAGCATCCACCCAGGTGTGCACACACGTGCTCAGAGCCACTCAGCAGGAGCGACCACACACTTCCAGGGGTGTCCCCACGATCTCCACGAGGGGTTGATGTCCCCAAGGTGTGTGGTGTGGGGCACAGGACCACGTGCCGTGCTGGCTGATGGGGGGCAGGGTCTCACTCGCTCTGCCCTGAGCTGACTTGCACG